ACCAGGCGAAGCTCACGAACGCCTGAGCCTTGTTGAACGACGCCATGCAGTCCTTCGCAAAAGCTGTGAGCTGTATCTCAAGGAAACTGGCCAAGAAGGAGGTAACGCTGTCCGTGAAAGCCTCATCTATGTTGTGCCTCAGTTGAACGCACAGCCCAATGCCAGCGGTTACAGTCCTTCACAATGGCTTCTTGGACAACAGCCACAATTCCCTGGAGATCTTCTGAATACTGCACTTTCACCACTACATCTCGAGGGCTCCAAGGGTTTTGAAGAAGAACTGCAAAAGCGAGCAATTGCCCGAATGGCCATCATCCAGACAGATGTCGATCGCAAGCTCAGACGTGGACTCCTTCGTCGCTACTTTGGCAACAGTGCTCAGTTTCAACCAGGTCAACTATGTTTCTACTGGAGAGATGCCAGAGCCCCCGACCTTGTCAAGATTCGCTGGAAAGGCCCCGCTCGTGTTTTGATGAGAGAAGACGATAGCGAAGGCCGACCACAATTGTACTGGATCAGCCACAAGTCACAACTCCTTCGATGTGCACCTCACCATCTCCGACCGGCCATTGAACAAGACACCAGCACCCTCATCGAGGGACTCCAGCTCGCTAAGCGAGATATGGCCGCACTTCGAAGTCGTGGAGTGACACGTATGTTGGACTTGAATGTGGTCAACCGCCAGCGACTTGAACATGTGGAGTCGGAGGAGGAAGGCGAAGACTTGGAACAAGAAGAGGAGGAGCACACACAACCACCACTACAGCGTCGCCGACTCAATGCACCAGCTGGTGCGCCACAGGTCGCTTCACCGCCACGACCAACTGGCGACACAGACATGGTTGAAGTTGATGATACCGCCGAGTACTCACCGACCTCACCAGCACACAGCCAGCATCAACAACAGGCTGAAGAGCCACAAGCACCAGAGCCATTGGCATTACCTCCAGAACGCTCAACACCCGAGCCACTGGCAGATATCCCAGATGCTGAGCTGCCGGCAGTACCACCTTCAGCACCTCCAACACCCTCTCAGAATGAGCCCTCTGAGGAGCCAAGTCCACCGCCGTCCACAAGCGCTGCACGAATCCCAGCACGACCTCCAGCACCAACACTTGATCCAGCAACAGCTGCTCTATATCAAGTACCACAACCAGGTGAAACGTTCCAACTGCTGCGCAACAGGTTCGACCAACAAGAGACCATCTCTTTCGGCAACCGCCGAGCACGAGCATTCATAGCACCCACAGAACCTGATACAGAACGCACTTCCTCACAAGCAGTGCATGGAGCTGGCCCCTACGACAAGCCAGCCACAGGATCTGAACCGTTGGAAGGTTGCTGTTTCGAGCTGGATGACCTGGATTGCTCACTACTCCCGCCTGGCTGGCACATCGAAAACGGCTACATCACAATGGACTCCCCGAACCAGGACTACTGGGAGCTGAGAGCCGGTTGTTTGATCAGGTACCACCTAGTACCGAGAAGAATAAAGTTCAGTCCTCAGTCCATGACTGGACGGGAGATGGCACATCTGCCGCTACCGGTGGACCGCCTGGACGACGTTCGCATCACAGTGCGACGCGTCGGAAGCCAGCTACACCAAGAGTCCGACTTCATCCAGACTGGCAATGGAAAGCCTTCTCAACAGACCTGGACTGGGATGACCATCTTCCAAGTGAATGGTGAAACCAGGAAAGAGATGGGCATGACCTCACATGACGTTCAAGACGCCCGCCAACTTGGTCGAAAACAAAGAGCCGCAGCCAACAAGAAGATCCAAAAGAACAAGAGCGAGATCAAGGAACGAGAACTGTCTTTGGAGCACCGCCTTTTGTTTCAAGCTGCAAAACAAAAGGAGCTTTCATCCTTTTTCCAGAATGGCGTTTGGTCCTTGCAGACTACAAAGGAAGCATCACCAGAGCGCACCTTGACCAGTCGTATGCTGCTCAAGTGGAGCAAGAATGCTGACGGCTCGCCAAGAGCCAAGGCTCGACTAGTTGTTCGAGGCTATGCCGACGTGGACGCACTTGCAGGATCCTTGGAGACAGCTTCACCAGCATCCACGAGACTTGGCAAGACCTTGTTCCTGAGCCTCAGCAGTTGTTTGGGATGGATTGGTTGGTCCGCCGATGTTTCCACAGCCTTTTTGCAAGGACTATCGCAGGAAAGAAAGCTTTGGGTGAAACTGCCAGCTGACGCCTTGGCACTCCTTGGAGCCGACTCCGACACCCGCATGTTTTTGCACAAGCCTGTTTATGGCCAGCTTGACGCCCCAAGGCGATGGTTCCTCGAGGCCAGTTCCAGGCTTCGAAAACTTGGCTGGAAGCAACACTCGCTCGACCCTTGTTTTTGGATGTTGTTTGAGCCTTAGTCTCAAAAGCTGGTCGGCCTCCTATGTCTTCACGTCGACGACATGTTGGGAGGTGGAGATCTTCAGTCGGAGACCTACCAGCACATGGAGAAAGAGATCAAAACAATGTTCAACTTCAGAACATGGCAACAAGATGAATCCTTTGAGTACTGTGGTGCCAACATGTCCCGTGAGACCAATGGCACTTGGGTGGTCAGCCATGAAAAGTACCTCCAGAAGATCAAGCCGCTGACCATGGAAAAGGGGAGACCAACACACTCTCCGATGACACCAAAGGAGCAGAGCCTTCTTCGCGGACTGCTCGGAAGCCTTCAATGGCCAGCCGTGCAGAGCAGCCCACACCTACTAGCAAGCACATCGCTGCTGAGCGGAGAAATGGTCACCGATTTAGCTGCACCTATAGTCGAAGCTAATCGTCTTCTGAAGTTCGCCAAGCAAAATAGCGACTCGGTCCTGAAGTACCCTCCACTAGGAGAGCTTGACGACCTCAGGCTATCTTGCATGTTCGATGCTGCTCACGGAGTTCGACATGATGGAAGCAGCCAAGGTGGATTTCTATGCCTGCTCACGCACAAACAAGCCTTCGAGGGCGTTGAAACGCCATACCATGTTTTGGAGTGGAAATCCTTCAAGCTACCACGTGTTGCACGCTCATCCCTGGCAGCAGAAGCACAAGCCGCAGGAGCTGCAGCCGACAGTGTTGAGTTCATTGTCAGGTTCTGGAATGAGTTGATAAACCCAGGACTTGATCTGAAGACCAACTTGGCCATAGACAACTCATCGCTACAGCCAGTGCTCATCACAGACACAAAAGCGCTGTACGACACCTACCACCGTGACGCCTTCAACCACGGGTCCAACGACAAGCGGACCGCCTTGGAAGTGAAAGTCACTCGACAACAAGTCGAGAGCTTCGGTGGCAAGCTGAAATGGGTCTCCTCAGAACGCTAATATGGTGATGGACTCACCAAGTTGTCAGCTCGACAGCTACTGGCTAATCGCTTGAGACATGGAGCGGTCAAGTACACCTGGGACCCTGAATATGTGGCCGCAAAAAAAAAAACGGTGGAAAACAGATGGGCAGTCAGCATGAGTTCACAAACACCTAAACACGCAACAACCCACGCAACAAGCACCAAACCAACACGCAAGGCCCACAACAAACAACAAAAGATGGAACACCGTCAAAGGATGGAACACCATCCATGGACAAGCAAGCCGAACTCGAGAGCCGGAGCACCAGCACTAAACAGTTTGCCGCTCGCGAAGCGATCGAAGCAACCAATTGCAGCCCCGGTAGGACTCGAACTCGTGCCGCTAGCCGTGGCTATGGTTTCCTGGCGCGAATGGGGCTGTTCAGGATACCTCCTACAACCGCGTTGCCGATCTCGAATGAGACGCATGCCGCCGAGGGGCGGTGGCCGCTACTACAGACGGTGGTCCTCCTACTAACCGCCTTTCGCCTTTGTGCTTAGCGCTCGGTTTGCTCGCCGCTATTACGCCGCTATTACTCAAGAAGATACGAAACCTCGAGCGATCTGTCGCTAAGGCCCTTAGCGTTCAAGATCGAGCTGTGGCCTCCATGGACCTGTCACACCAATTGGCCAATCGTGAATTAAGAGGCGCGATGGACCTATAAGGAGAAGAACTCGCCCTCACCAGAGACCGTCTCAGAGCTGCTGAAAAACGACTTACGTTCTTCGAAAGGGACGTTATCACTGGAATTCCTCTCACCGAGGAGGAAGTCACTGGTCGCCGCCTAGCCATGGAGTCGGAAAGCCGAGCTGGGTTGGCCGATGCGAAGGCCATTTTAGACAGGGCCATAAGAAAGTTCAACGAGCACGCTCAGATCTGTCCCATCAGGGACGAAATTTTCATCGCTCCTCGAGGCCGTGTTTAACATCTTCGACCGGATTGCCGCGTTCTATTCAATCGAACCCATGGAGAGCGATCAGGCCCATGGAGAGCGATCCTATGAATGTGCACTGCATCGATAGACATCACGCCAAGTCGATTGCATCACGCCAAGTCGATTGCATCCGAACACACAGAAGACCTTAGTTACTAATATCGGCATGTTCCTAGCCCACCACGGAACCGTTTTGTATGAAGCTCGGACCAGAAACGAGCTTTTTCTTCCACCTTAGATGCAAGGGTTAGTTTGGCCCTTAGCCTACGACAATGCGGGTCGCTAGATTTTTCCCTAAAGGACAAGGATAGGCTAAACGGCCCTTGTGTTTTCTTTTCCCTTCTCCGCCTATGTAATTTGCATGCCATACAATCATTTCAAGTTGTTCATTTCAGGTTGTTCATGTTTGCAACCACCGCCGTCTCAAACCAGGGAGGGCCGCGACTTACAACCGACTAATTGCGAGAAAAGACCGACCTCGCGAGCGGTCTACCCCCACCACGGTCCGGAACCTCGTACGTCCGTACCTCGTGCTACCACAACATTTGCACCAATAAAAATTAAAAATTATAGATTATTTTAAATTTATATAATATATTCATTTAGAAAATATAAAATCATTTTTAATTCCAAATCGTCATTATATATATAATATATCCAATAATAATATTATAATATATAACATCTTATAATATTTAAATCTTTTGTAAATTGCATGATTTCATGATGTGTATAAGGCATTGTAAACATAAATTCCTGCAATTTCTGAAAAATCTTCCCTGCTAATTTCTCCTGGTCGAGGTTCATCTTCAGCAACCTAGCACACTCAAGATATTTCTGCGCGCATCTTGTTTGGGAACCGTGGCCTCAACAAATGTTTCTTCCATGTCAAGGTAATTTGCTTTGCCTTGCTTGCACTCTTGACACGAAAAAGTTGAACCACAAGCAGCAAGTCTTTGATAGCAATACATTCTCGATCAAGATATAAAGCTGCTTCACATTGAGAAGGCAACCCACCACACTCTGCAAGTGCTCATCCATGAGTCCCTGTGGGTGACGTGATCAGAAAAGCGACTCTGAGGTGAAGGGCTGACTTTTGCTATAAGGCAATTAGAACTTGTTTTTGAGTGTGCTTCCTTTACACATCTGACCTTGACGTCATCGGCGAGGAGCCAATCTTCTGACTCAGTGGACAGTCTCGTAACAAATGGACGCAAATCCATAGCATATGCTATTTTCAAGTTGTACAAGTTTGCGCAATAGGCAAATGTTCGCTCTGCAAGGGCCAGGCATGCCTTTGTGCGTCACTACATTGTCACTACATGTTGAATCTGTGAGGAGGCATGCATGAAGGCCACCTGCCTCATATCGAATGTTCCAGATTTTCACCATGTCCTGCAAGAAAGTGCAAGCTGTACTCAAGCTCAATACTTTGTCTTGTCCACAAACACTGTTGCGCAAGGTCCTGCTTGACTTTGGGCCAGTTGGGGTCTGCATCAAGGTCAACTTCATCATCGTCATCTTCAATCTCCTCCACGTCCTCCAGATCCTCGACCTTCAAGGTTTGAACAAAAACTGGTTTGTTTCTGGATGCAAACTTGGCCTCGGCCCGGGCATGTCGAGGAGTTTGCCAGGCTCCTGAAGCGATTGCCATCGTGGAATCAATTCTGGCTGCAGTTCTGTTATGCTTTACGTTGGTCCTGTCAGGCAAGCACTCTGTGGACTTTGTCCACGTGGATGTCTCAGGATCCAACTGCAACTCCTGACAGCATCGCAGCGCGTTGTGACAGCGCCATACTGCCTGCTGTTGTCAGAAACATGGTGACATCTCTTGGTGGCCTGAGTGTCTGAGCGCAAAAGGTTCCACTGCCTTGCAAATCATCAAAGTCTGCCAGCTCGAGGGGAACTCCAAATAAAAGTTTGAGCGGCAAGAGCCACCCCCTCGCTTAGAAGGTTCGCGCCTTTTTGCCTCCACCATCAACCAAAAGAAGAACCAAGAAAAGTATAGAACCAGCCCTTGTGTTTTTGCTCGAAGAGTCTCTCATCCAAGAACACCCCACCTTATGGCTGTACTTCCACCGAGAAATTTTAAGAAGTACCTGGAATCCTTGTTGTGGATCCGCATGCTGAAGTGGAGCAGTTTGAGTGTATACATCCTGCCAACTTTAGGTACCAGTATTGGTTTCACGACAGCTTAGGCAAGGTGGGCATATTGTGTTCGCAATGAAGTTGGAAATGAGCTCTTCAAGCCTGCCTCGATTCTTGCTATGGAATTCAAGTCTTTTGAGAAAGCGCTTGTCAGTAATTCCAGTTGCACGGGTTCCATGCTCAAATTTTTTGTGGGGTCTTGGAACTTTCCAGCATCTGGAGTCAAAGCCAGGTGCATTGTTGAATTTTTACCTATGTTTGCATTGAAAAAATGTACGCTGGTTTGCTTGGCCTTCCCAAGAAAGATCCTATCACAGTAGCAATTCTGAAAAATGACCCGCTCCTCTTCTTCAGTGCGCTTGGAGCCTTCCAATGCGGTTGACCTCATGTCTACCTGCACTCACCTTGCCATCTAGCTTACTGAACTTTCAGAGTATCTTGTAACGCCCCTCACTCTAGAAACACTTGGTTTCCTTTGGCTTCGGCCTCAGGAGCTCGCTTCTTTTCATGTTCAGCCACCTCCCATGCCGTCTCGGCATTTTCAGAGAGGCACTCAAGCTCTT